AGAGAACTAATTTTCAGACAATTTCTGAAATGTTATAGAATGCACAAAGAAACAATTAATGTCAAAATTTCTGAGTTGTTTCTAGGAATTTTTTTTCTGAGAATAATCCCAAGCTTGTTATATGTAAGTGTACTCCAAATTTTTTTCTATCTACAATGCGCCGCTGTAGCATCTATTGTCCATGCTTCCAGAGACAGATTTGTTCATGAAGTTCCATGAATGATCATGATTCCTTGAGCTTGTTTGTACAGCTCTAACACCACTTTGCACCAATATGATGGTTGAACAAACACCATATTAAAAGCAAATGTCTTGATTGATGAGCTCACATGTATATTTATTCAAACATTTTTACAGCAAAAAGGATTTTTTTGAATTGAGAATGTTGCTTGTTTTGACAATGTATAATTTTCAATTAAACAGTTATTAATTAATTAATTAATTAATTAGTTAATTAACCCTGGAATTAACTAATTTTTACATCGTTGGTTGTGATATTTTAATTCTTTATGTGTGAATCAGAAACTGGAAATGTTTTGGAGCCACAGTTTAGTGGATTTTAGTGGTATTGCGCATAAAAACAATCCCTCCACTCACCCCATGTGCAAAACTATATTTTTTTCTGTTGTCTGCCTTAAATGACCCCAAAGATACTTGGTTTTTAGTTGGTTCATTTCTGTCCAACAGCACCATCATGTGGTCAGAAACAAGCTTTAAGAGACTAACTCTTGTATAACTGTGTATATTCCCCTCCAGCTTATGAGGGCACGGACCTGTTTACGGTGTTGGTCCATGAGTTTGGCCACGCTCTGGGCCTGGCCCACTCTTCGTCCCGCCACTCAGTGATGAGGCCATACTACCAGGGTCCTGTTGGAGATCCTTTGCACTACCGCCTGGAACAGCAAGACCTGGAGCACATCACTCACATCTATGGTAGGAACAGCACTGCATCATTACCACATGAGAACCTTTAATGTGATTGTACGTAAGCACAAGATAGATGAACCAAAATATAACTTTACAACCTCTAGATGGTATAAATATTATTATACTTGAATTATATCTGAGCATCTTCCTGCGCTGGAATGAGAACAGGCAAAGGTTTAGACTATTAAGAGGGTGTTTTCACTCCGACTTCAATCGTCAATTTTGGGCCGAAAAAATTGCTTTCACACAGCACCGAGTCAAACAAACTGAACCCTTTGAAAAACCTTTATACTCCACCTGAGTGGTGCCAGGAACAACTCAGAGAAGCAACATAAAACCTTTGAAGATGTTGTCGCCTTCTGTCACCGTGCTGCCGCCAGTTCGCCACCAGGGGGTCCCCTCAGTCCCTCTCCTGACGCTCCACCTTGCGGGTGTGTCTGCACACACCTGCAGATCATCTGATCAGTTCCAGAACTATAAGAGGAGCCTCCAGCCAACACTTCAACGCCAGAGTGTTGACCCTTGTGGTAACTAAGAGCCATCTGAAAGCCTTGTGTGATTATACCTTCCCGTTCTAACCTCTCGTCTCCTCGTCTCAGGTTTGATCGAGCCCTGAACCCGGGCATAATCCGGACTCAGTCGAGCCCGCTGCCAGGGATCTGGATCTCCTCGCCCTGGAAGGCCCTACGCCGCAAGCAGCACCGAGTCGGCTCTCCTCTCCCTCGCTCCCCCTGAGCAGGCGTTCTTTGAACCCCAAACCCAGCCCCGGCGTTTCTGGCCTGTCAGCTGTCCATAGTTACTCCAGCTCGAATCACTTTTTGTTTTTTGAATAAAACCCTCAATCTTCAGTTTTCTCCTGAGTGTCTGCTGCATGTGGGTTCGGAACATTCCAAAAATCATGACAGAAGATACTGAGAGCAACTTCCTTCTTTGCAAAATGTAAACAAAAGTAGAGTAGTGTCAGATTTTTAGTGGCTATAGGATTTCTCTTTTGTCTTTGGTAAAACACCACGAGCCAATTCTAGTGCTAGACTTGCTTGTTTATATTTTGGTTGTATTTACCCAGAATTCCCTGTGCTACAGTCTAATTCCTGCTTTTAGAGCGGTCTCCAGTTTGCTTAGTATTCACATATGCATTTGACCAGAGTTCATGTTTTTGATCCTCATCAGATTTTAATTATACATTCATACCTCCCACACATGAACCAAACTTTCTAGGCAAATGAACTAAAGTTAAACTAAAAGGGGCTGATGTGAATGCATCCTAAGTCGTCAATACGAATACGTTGGTGGGTCTGACAGCTGCTGTTACTGACTGCTGCTGTCAGCTTTAACCTCCACATTACCCTGCCATCCCATGTCAAAACATTGTATTGTAAAGCATCAGAGGATCAGAGGAAGGGAAGTGTCTGGTGAAATGTGGAACTGATTGCACCATTTTCTTTCCCAGAATACCCTGTAAGCTCTGCAGACACAGCTGTCTGCATGGTTTCTAGCTCAACATTTGCAGGAGGTGTTGGCTGAGTTTTTATTGTGGTTTTAAGGATTTTAAGTGAATAATCCCATTCCTGTTCTGTGAGGTTTTTCAAGTTCAACGTATTTTAATTTCTGCTGCAGGTAAAAGGAACCAGCTTCTGCTGACAGATGCTCCTCGCCTTACAACAGAGCCTAAGCTGCACCACAGAGCCCATCACCATCATCACAGACATGGGTACGACCTGTACAAAGACAAACTGGGAGACTGTCACAACACGGGATCATGGAGTTGGGATTAGTCATTCATTCAAAATGCTTTCAGTGTTTACAGCTAAAATTCTGTATAAGTTAATTTTTCATAGTCTTTCTTGAAGGCGAGTGAAAGCACTGAGCTCAGAGGAAGTTGGTAAATTCAAGACTTAAGTGAGTATAAACGTAGCCAAGGAAACCCAGGGTAAGTTCATTTAAGTAGTTATATGTAACGCAGTATAGTAGGACTGGAGTGGAACTGAATGACACTTTGACAGTAACAGAAGTACTTTGCAGTGACCAGATGTAGGATCAGCACAGTGTGTGTGAGTGATGGAAACAGACAAAAGAAAGTTTACTTAATTTATGGCACCTCAGATCTTCTGGCTCTGGTCTGCTCTGCATCCCCAGAACCAGAACCAAACAAGGAGAAGCAGCATTCAGCTTCTATGCACCACAAATCTGGAACAAATGTCCAGAAAACTGTAAAACAGCTGAAACACTGAGTGCCTTTAAATCTCGACTAAAAACCCATCTGTTTAGAGTTGTATTTCAAACATAATCAATTAAGAATGTAACGATGGCACTTGACTTAATGTAATGTTTTGATTGTTGATTCTATGTTGCATGACTTTATGTTTTTGTGTTTATGATGTAAAGCACTTTGAAATGCCTTGCTGCTGAAATGTGCTATACAAATAAAATTTGATTGCTTGAATGATTGACCAAATGAATCACCATGTGTCCTTTGACTCTGTTTTTGTCCCTTCAGCCCTCCCATAAATCGCTGTAACACAAGCTTTGACGCTGTGGCAAAGATAAGAGGAGAGACTTTCTTCTTCAAAGGTTTGAATGTTGGAAACAATAAAGAAATTAAACATGTTTATCACTTCCACCTCTTCTTGAAAACAATAAAGAGCTCGCTACTGCTGGTGTTTAGTCATCTTTAATTAACTCTTCTTATAACCTTTGTGTCTCTGACACAACACCACCGTCGAACTAAAAATACAACATAAATGTAAATGAGACAGTGTCACGAATACTATGACATAAATAAATGATACAAGACATATAAACATACCTCGCTGGCTGACCGTTCTTTTGAGGTAGAAATGAGCAAAATTTAATTACTTTAAACAACTAATTAATATCATGCCTTCCTACCATGTGCTTCTTTCTTTTGTGTCCCAGCGAACATTCTGGATTGTACTTCCTACTTTAGCTTTTCAAAATAAAAGTCACAATAACAAAAAATGTGCCTAATACAAAATAAAACATACAAACTAAAACTATGGCAGTAAAAATGTTATTCTCTCTTTCAATATATACAGCTCTGAAAAAAATGAAGAGACCACTGTACTGAATCCTATTGAAAACCTCCTGGTTATTCCACAAAATATTTATTTCTGAACTCTTCCTGAGTTTAAACATTAGTGTTATTGTTTCTAAGTGAACATGAACTTGTTTTCTTTGCATTATTTGAGATCTGAAAGCACTGCATCTTTTCATTAATTTGACCATTTCTCATTTTCTGCAAATAAACACAAAATTTTTGATTGGAATTTCAGACTCTTCAGTAGTTTATAGAATAAATGAACAATGTTCATTTTATTCAAACATATATCCATAAAAAGTAAAATCAGAGAAACTGATCATTTTAAGTGGTCTCTTAATTTTTTCCAGAGCTGTACATTCAGCTTGTAGCTTATAGCAACAGTAGCTAACTGCATGTGCTTCTGAAAGCATTTATAGCACAAAAGGACAAAAAGACTAAAGAAACCCCAGTAAATAAACCCTACATATCTTTTATATTAATCTCTGCCTTTATAAACCTCATCCTTCAGTGTGCTGAAGCCTCATGTTTCCTATTTATGCTGCTGAGCTGCTAATATTGCATCCAATGAACACATTCTGGAGGGACAACTAGAAACTCTCTCCAGTTTGTCACACAAATGATGTCATTTATGTGACATCATGTCACACAAATGTTGATGTTGCTGCAGGCCTGACGGTGTGGCGGGTGAACGGTGGGGGTTTGGTGTCAGGGCGTGGTGCTGCGGTCAGGAGGCTGTGGAGGGGTCTGCCCGCTGACCTGCTGCGCCTGGACGCCGTGCTGGAGAGGGATTCAGATCACGCCATCATCTTCGTCAGCGGTACACAACACCATTTTAATATGTTTACCTGTGCAGTGTTTTGTCCTGACCCTGTTCCTGACATCTGGACTGATCTGCTAAAATCTGTATTTGTTATAGCTATATGTATAAACATTAGTTGGTTCTTTATCACTTTTAGTCAAAGTTATTTAGAGCCATTGTGGGAGGTCCAAAGAGCCACTGGTCTGTGGTTGTCATGTGATAAAATGTTAAAAGGTTCAGCTTTTGCAATATGTACATACTGCTTCAGCTGCCTTACCTGGCCACTGTGTGTGCTGCTGCAGGCTCCAGGTTCTGGCTATTCAGGGATCTGTCCCTTCAGGACGGCTACCCTCAGCCCCTGACTGCTTTCCGAATGGGGGTGAGCCTGACCCGAGGACAGCCTGATGATGAGGATGAGGCAGCGCCGGGATCTGGGCACTGGGCCCTGGTGTGGGATCCAGAGGAAGGACCTGTGTGGGGAAAAGTGGGAAACTTAGAGGAAGAAAAGCAGGAAGACAAATGGAGCCAGCTTCTTAGGGACGGTGTCAGCGGCATCACCACTGACAACGACGGTGAGGAAGTGAATGGTCTCGGAATGTGTTTAACCTCTGCTCTCATTTTAAATATGAATAGAAATCAATTTAAGTGGAATTGAGTTGGTTAAAGGGGCAGTATTTGTCATAGAGGGAGGTAACTTTTTGACCCACATGCAGAAACAAGAGAAGTAAAA